TAGTCTTATAACAATTTTTTAAAAGTTTTTTAAAATAAAGAATTTTTTTTTTTTTCAAAAAACAAATTTAAATTTAATTGACAATTTTTTTTATAACAATATTATTTAATTTAAAGATACTTTATAAAGATCAAAACTTTAAATGAATTTTAACATAGTCAAATTAAATTTAATTACAATGCAGTACTTTAAATACGCAACTGACGCAATTTAACTTTTAAATACGCATCTGCCATAATATATTTTGTGTTAACTTGTGTTACACTTTTCTGATACGCTAAAAATCTCAAAACAAGGCCTGCATCAGTGGTTGAAAATTTTAAAATTTTGGAGAACATTCTGACTCCTCCAACTATCCTCCAATCAGTCTTTTATCTGATATTAGCAAGGTCTTTGATCAACCAAATTTCTCACATCCTATCTTAAGTCAAATAACGTACTGTTAGACAATCAATAAGATTTTCAATCTTTTCGCTCTACGGCTGACTTAAAACTGCTGTAACTGAAAGATTTTATCATGCATTAGATGGATGCTGAGAGACAAGGGATATTGCTCTTGACATATCTAAAACTTCAAATAAAGTTTGGTAAGCGGGTCTTCTCCATAAACTTGCTTTATATGGTGTATCTGGTGAAATTTTTGAGATTATCAAATTATTTCTTTCTAACCACTTTATTAAAATCATCCTTCTCCTTCAACACTTGGCTTTTTTTCCAGTAACTTTTGAGGTAACTCAAAATTCTATCCTTGTTCCTGTTTTGTTTCTTATCTACATTAACAATCTTGCAAACAACTCTATTTGCTGATGACTTTATATTTCTTGACAAAAAGTCAATCAAAGTCAAGTTTTGATTGATTTGCTTAGAACAGGTCGCTGATCTTAAATCTGATCTCACTTTTGTATCAGGGTCTCGCAGTGGCTTGTTAATTTTAACCCCAATGGCGGGATAGCTCAGATGGTTAGAGCGTTAAAGGAAAAGTTAAAACCCGGACTGTTGAACGATACGAGTTCAAATCCCGCCGCCGCCAACTCAGCGCTTGAATAGTACTTTGGTAAGCAAAAATGTTGGTCAATAACGGACGCTACTTTAGATTAGTCTTAATGACTATTTGTGGCTGTTCCTATGCTAAGCCAACAATATCTTCGAATATAAGAACATTGTATAGAAAAATATAGAATGAAAACTCAAATAAAAAAATAAACAAAAAACAAAACAACAAAATTCAGTTATTTACTGCAAACAACTACTGCAATACTGTTAACATTGTTATATTGATGAAAGGCAACCCCCTCACTGAGTCCTTTTCTTTACGTCTTCTTGGATTATTATTCACTACTGACCTCTGTTAAGGTTGTTTCCCTTTATCGTGCAGTATTATCTTGCCTTACAATCTTGCTATCTTTATCTTCCAGGCTTGAGCCTGGAAGATATTTATCAATACATAAAATTAAAATTATTATTCAAACATGAATCATAACAGTGCTTTTAAAATATTAATTTAAACCTCTCAAAGGATATACTCATTTTAATTATGACAAAACAAAAAAAGTTTTTAGTATAACCAAAATTGCTTATACATACAATAAAAGACATGAATTTTGTACATAAAATGCATATAGCATGTTTTAAAACAGCCTGCAACCTTTAATTTCATTGATAAATTATACTAAAATAGCCATAACCATATATCAACTGAGAGTTAGGTTTTCTGAAATTAAAGTTTTCTTTCCTAAAAAAAAATTTTCTTATTAAAGTCTTGATTAAAATATAAAGATAATAGTAAGAACAATTTAAATAATTAACTTTTAATTTAATTAATGATTAATTGTTTAAATTGCCTTTTTGACACACACACATATATTATATATATATATATATATATATATATATATATATATATATATATATATATATATATATATATATATATATATATATATATATATATATACATATATATATATATATATATATATATATATATATATATATATATATTATATATATATATATATATATATATATATATATATATATATATATATATATATATATATATATATATATATATATATATATAATATATATATATATATACATACATATAATATATAATATATATATATATATATAAATATATATATATATATAAATATATATATATATATATATATATATACATATATATATATATATACATATATATATATATATATATATAAATACACACACAAACACACACACCAGGCTTGGTCAGGAAGCGGAAACAATCGCTCTCGAATACTGACCACGGAAATTATATTTATTTGCTTAAAACTGGCCAGGTTTTTTAGTCATTTTGAGAACATTTAAGTTTATCTACGAAACAAAAAAATTTTGTTTTACGGACATACATGTAAACATAAAAAACTTGAATGTTCTTAAAACATCTTTTTATTTTTATTTTTATTTGCATTCACTCCCAACAAGGCTACAAGCAACTACTATTAAGTTAGGAGTTACTAGGAAAAAAAAAGAACAAAGTTATAGAGCAAAGAAACGGTTGACAGAAGACTTGAAAAGTTGAAGGTTGTATGAGTCAGGAAAACATGAAGATGGGAGAGAGTACCAAAGGATTGAAGTGCGGGGAAAAAACTAGACGAATAAAAGTTTTTAGAGCATGCAGGGACAGATACAGTAAACGAATGAGACTTAGCTGAATGACGAGTAAAACGAGAATGAATTTTAGTTGATGGAACTAGAGATGATAACTCCTTTGAGCAGTGATCATGATAGTATTTGTAGAAAAGAGAAAGAGATGCAACTTTACGACGATGGGAAAGAGGCTCAAGCTTAGCAGATAGTCCAGGTCCAACAACATTTACAATGCGTTTTTGGTCGTTGTCAAGAAGAGAAAGTGAATCGTTAAAAGAACCAGCCCAAATATGACAACAGTATTCCATACAGGGACGAATAAGAGTTTTGTAGAGGTAGAGAATGGAATCAGAAGTAAGGAAATGGCGAGCACGGTAAAGAGAAGCAACCTTAGCAGAAGCTAATTTATATATGGTTGTATATATGGTTTCCATGAAAGGTCAGTAGTAAGCGATAATCCAAGAAGATGTAAAGAGGAGGACTCAGTAAGAGGATTGCTGTTCATTAATATAGGAATGTTGGTGCGGAAGAATAAAAAGAATATTTGCGAACTTTAAAAACCCGCCAAATTAACGAACAAACTAATTCTATTAGTTCAAAAAATACGCCGACTAAGCGAAATAAAGTTCTAGAGTATTCTGTTGAAATGTTTTAGAAATTTTATTATTCACAATTTGTTACGTTTTAAGATTTCTAGCATAAATGATTTAAGAATATATTATCAATTCTATGGCTCACAAATCTTATAAACTATTATTATTTGTTTACAAAAATAATTGTTTTAAATATATATTATTTAAATTGTCAAAATTTTGAAAGTTTATTATAAATTATAGATTTTATTAGTATATACTTATTTTTTATTTCAAAAGTATGTTTTTTATGTAAATGTATTTTTGTGTATCTGTTTTTTATCGATTTAATTTGTAAACAAAGACTTACAAAAATAATTGCGTTTTCAATGAAGTTAATTAAACTAATTATGTAACAAACATATAAAAAATTTCTGGTTACTAAGCACAAACAATACATACAAAGTAACTTGCGGATGAACAAGCACCGCGCCTGAGGTTACGACAGAACACAAATATATATAGCAAGTTATTAAATATAAAGAAAAGTTTCTAGATATTGGTTTACTAAATCTAATTATTTTCACTTAAGTTGCCATTTTTAAAAACTTGTTATACTTTTTTCTGCTTTAAATACTAATTAAAATTAAAAAGCCCACTCACTAAACATCAGCGATATTGTAGAGCAGTTTCCCTTCCTCGTCATAAAGTATTTTTAACCTTTATAGTTGATTTCTATCTAGTTTATTTCTATAGTAATTCAAAGATTTAATTATTTCATTTGTTTATCTTACTAAGAAGAAGTGTTTCAAATATGTTAAACTTTTCAAACTATGCAAAATATAAAATAGATATTAAAAAATTAACTTTTTTATTTATAAAATAATTTAGCTTAGATAAAACTAAAACTTGCAAACTTTAATAAATAAAGAACATTTGTTTCCTTTTTAAACAAATATAAAATTTTACTTTATATAAAAAACGTTGCTTAATCTTATAAAAAAATTATAAAAAAGTGATGTTTCGATAATATTTGTTCTAAACGTATTTTATTTTGCTTTAAGTTTTTTCATGTTTAAATATGTTTTATTTTCCTGTTTTTTATTTTTTTTTTTGTAACTGTCTCTCATCAGTCCAATTAATGTTTTGTGAATTTTTTTTTTGCTTTTTGAAATGTTCTCAAAACGACTAAAAAATCTGGCCAGCTTTTTGCAACTAAATATTATTTCCGTGGTCAGCAATCGAGAGCGATCGCTCCCGCTTCTAAACCAAGCCTGACACACACACAGACACACACACACACACACTACAATGTATTTATATAGGCATTTGCTTACTACTTATGCTTGTCTTTATAGAATATGGCTTTTTCAGAAAAAGAAGAAAAAATTAAAGTATATAGATTGCTGTCCCAACCTAAACTGTCAATTGATGTAACACAATATATTTACTAAAGCACCTAGCAACAGGTTATTTCAATGTGACATCAGGCATTACAACTTTTAAAGAAAACACCCTCCTTTTTTTGGCAGCTAATAGTATACAAAAAAAATTATCAATTCAAATTAAACAAACGATTCAAATCAAATTCAACAAAAGGGTTTAACAACATTAAAAACACTCTAGAGCAGCACCTGATAATATCAGTGGATTAACACACTATAACAGCCTTACCTAACTAAATAAATTGACTCAACCTAAGTTAGGTCAATTTACAACTTTTTTTTAGGTAAAAAAAAACAAACTATTTATAAATTATTTAATTAACAAATTATTAATATTATAAATTACCCGTGGCCAACTGGATTTATGAAATACAAACAACAGTGAACTCTTGTATCTGTTATGTTTCTTCTGTTAAGCCCTGATTCATCTCTTAAGTATGCTTCATACTGTTCATTGATATATTGCACTATTGGTTGCCAACTAAAACATTTTTAAAAACTTCAATTAACCAGTACATTAAAATATTAACAGTTATTAGTTTAAATATGCATTTATGCATAAGATTTAATTTGCTAGGTTGCTTTTTTTTGTAACCTTAATTTTTATGTTTTGTTCTTAAAATATGAAAATGTTTAATAACTTAATTTTTATTAAATTATTTAATTTAACTTTAATTATTATTTTCAATTATAATTTTAATTTCAATTATTTTAATTTTAAATGTTTAAAGCAACAAATATCATAATATTTTTCATTTATTATTCATATATCAACAAAATATTTTTGTATTATTATAATATTAGGGAATACAACTACTTGTGGATTTTACTACTCAGGTAATCAACGCTTTAATTTTTATCTACCTGGATTAGCCAAGTAATTGTTGAAAAAAAAAATCAAACAATGAAAATACTAGTTAATAAATTTATTTTTGTGTATTATGAATAGTTAATATTAGTTCAGTTTTCAGTATAGGTACATTTGGTTTTAATATGTGGTTATTACAGTAAATAATTAATTAGTCAAATTTTGATTCCTTCAAATAATACTTTAAAAACACTAAACCACTGAGAGTTTCGGCAGTCAATCTGGAACACATTTTTATTGAAGAATTACAATAAAAAAAACACTTTCACAATCCACTAATGTAGGCTTAATGGTAAGTGCTTTGTATAATTGTTCAAAGTTATTTGTTCTCTGTCAACAACTTTTAGCCAATGATTTGTGGATTTGCTTTAGTGGTACTAAAAATGTTAACAAGGAGTTATGAAGAATGTCTTCACTAAAAGATGCTTTCTCCTGTGCTATTACTTCAACTTCAATGGGTATTTTCAATTCCGGTACACAAAATAAACATTTATATATTTATTTTGCAACTAATTTTACATTATATTTAGATGAATATAATAAAAATTTATTTGATTGTGGATAATGGCGATAACAGATTGTGGATAATGGCCATAATTATGCGGTAGTGGTGTAGTGGTAGAGCGCTCGCTTCATAAACGAGTGGTTCCGAGTTCGATCCCCACCACATCCCTAGTAGTACCGCGCTCAACTCGTTTCTCTGCGCAGCGGCCTTGTTCGTCAAGGTTCATGTTTCGGAGTTATAGTGTTGAGAGAGGGTTATAGCCACAAAATAAGTAGCCTCCTCGTCTGTAGTGGCCTTCTCGGCCTTGAGGAGGTGAAGTAAAATTAAAAAAAAAAAAAAAAAAATACATCTATAATTTCTCAGTAGAGAAATTATAGATGTATTTTGGTGTTGATTGATTCTTTTAATTAGCTCGATACACATATTTAGAGCCTAAGGTGTGCTGATTTTTTTAAATTTATTGAAAACGAAAATCATAGTTCAAAAATAATTAAACTTGCTTCTTTTTTACTAATTGAATCACAGCTTCTGCTAAAGGTTCTAATTTAGCTACATGCTATTGAAGGCATGAAATATGTTCACCAGATGGAAACACTGCACGAAGTTCATATAGATAGGGCCACATAATAATATGAAATGATTTATCATATCAATCAAAGAATTCCAGATTCCAGAGCAAAAAAAAAACATTTAAAAACATTAGAAACTAAGTTGTATAACCAACATCTAATCATCATCATCATCAGGCTTGGTCGGGAAGCGGGAGCGATCGCTCTCAAATACTGACCACGGAAATTATATTTAGTTGCGAAAAACTGGCCAGGTTTTTTGGTTGTTTTAAGAATATTTAAGTTTATGTATGAAACAATAAATTTTGGTTTTACGGACAAACATGGAAACATAAAAAACTTGAATGTTCTCAAAACATTTTGGTGCGGAAGAATGAAAAGAATATTCGCGAACTCTAAAAATCCGCCAAATTAATGAACAAACTAATTCTATTGGTTAAAAAATACACGGACTAAGCCAAATAAAGTTCTAGAGTATTATGTTGAAATATTGTAGAAATTGTTTTATTCATGATTTGTTACGTTTTGAGATTTCTAGCATAGATTGTTATAAGAATATATTATTAATTCTATGGCTCATTCTCGGAGCCACATCTGCAAACGCCTAAATCTTATAAACTATTATTATTTGTTTACAAAAATAAATGTTTTAAATATAAATTATTTAAATAGTCAAAATTTTGAAAATTTATTATAAATTTTAGATTTTATTAGTATATACTTATTTAAAGAGTATGTATTTTTTATGTAAATGTAATATTGTGTATCTATTTTTTATCAATTTAATTTGTAAACAAAGACTTACAAAAATAATTGCGTTTTCAATGAAGTTATTAATAATCATTAAAGTTAATTAAACTAATTATGTAGCAAACATGTAAAAAGTTTCTGGTTACTAAACACAAACTATGCATTTTTTTTTTTTTTTTTTTTTTGTATGTATTTAGGTGCTCCCAGAAGTCCTTACGGTCTTATCATAGAGCACCGCGGGAGAACATTTAATAGGAAGTTCACGCCTCCTTCCGTACCAATGTCGCTTTCTGGGCTGGAGCTGGCGTCGAACCTCGGACCTCTGGGTTCTGAGCCAGTACTCTAACCACTGCGCCAGGGCTGCTCAAAGTAACTCGCAGATGAACAAGCCTGAGGTCACAAATGCATTCAAAGTAACTTGCGGATGAACAAACCTGAGGTCACAACAGAACATAAATATATATAGCAAGTTATTAGATGTAAAGAAAAGTTTCTAGATATTGGTTCACTTAATCGAATTATTTTCGAATAAGTTGCCATTCTTAAAAACTCGTTATATATTTTTCTGCTTTATATACTAATTAAAATTAAAAAGCCCACTCACTAAACATCACTAACCATATTATGAAGCAGTTTCGCTTCCTTGCCATAAAAGTATTTTTAACTTTTTTAGTTAATTTCTATCTAGTAAATATAATTTCTTTAGTAATTCAATGATTTAATTATTTCATTTGTTTTTCTTACTAAGAAGAATTGTTTCAAAGATGTTAAACTTTTCAAACAAACAAAAGAATAGGTATTAAACAAATTAACTTTTTTATTTATAAAATAATTTAGCTCAGATAAAACTAAAACTTGCAAACTTTGATAAATAAAGAACATTTTTAAGTAAACGTAAGATGTTACTTAATATAAAAAACGTCGCTTAATTTTATAAAAAAATTATAAAAGAGCGATGTTTTGAAAATATTTGTTCTAAACGTAATTTATTTTCCTTTAAATTTTTTTGCGTTAAAAGATATTTTATTTTCCTAATTTTTTTTTTTGTAACGATCTCTCATCGGTCCAGTTAATCTTCGCATTTTTTTTTTTTTTTTAAATGTTCTCAAAACGACTAAAAAATCTGGCCAGCTTTTCGCAACTAAATATTATTTCCGTTCCGGTCAGCAATCGAGAGCGATCGCTCCCGCTTCCCGACCAAGCCTGCATCATCATCATCATTATCATCATCATCATGATATATATATATATTTTAAATTATTCACCTCCCCAAGGCCCGAGGGGGCCACTACAGTCGAGCAGGCTACTCCTTTTTTTTTTTTTTTTTTTTTTTACATATACACACACACATTTACATAATTTGAATTTATGACCTCAAGTGTAAATAAGGTTGTTAATTAAAAAGAAACTTAATATATTTAGGCAAACTTAATTAGTGCAAATAAAGCAGCATTATTTTTTAAAAACAATTCAGTGCTGGAGATTTCACAAGCTTTTATTCAAACATTTTAATATAGACTTGGTGCGGGGTACTCGGACTCAGACCCGGTACTTTCTTCCAGGTACCTGAAACCGGGGACTCTACTTGAACTGTTTCTGGCACATCTATACTCTGGATTGAAGCCGAAGCTCTTTGGAGCTAGAATTTTTAAACAGCCAGAGCTGAAATATTTCAAGGTGGAGCTGGTTCCTAGCTAGCTGCTCACTTTGATATTTTAGAATATCTAAGCATGAGTTTTTTTTGTTATTCTTAAGTAAATAATATTAATAATAATAAATTTTTTGCTGTACACATACAATGTGATGTGGTGAGTCTAACACTTGTATATATTAAAATTTGACAGCCTTTGTAAAAGTTTTTTTTGTTTGTTTTTCATCATTTATATTTTATATTTTTATTTTGTTTTTCCAAAAGATCAAACTTGTTCTTGAAAATATTCACATCATCAGAATTGATCATCTCTTCTGTTGAATTATTTCATTTAACTTTTCTGTTTGTGAAGAAATTTTCCAAGAAAGATCCAAAGTAAGAGCTAATCCTAGAAGACAAAGGGTAGATGACTCATGGAGTACATTACCACTCATAAATATAAGAAGATCTAGATTATTGTGATAATGATTAGCTAAAAAAAATATTGAGTTTTATCTGAGTTAAAGTTCACCAGCCACAGAGAGCCCCATGCTGTAGCAGAAGTGAAATCCTTTTCAAGCTCAAATGCCCTTTCAAACAATCAGAGAGTGTTGGCTCCTAATAAAGACAATAATAAAAGGTAGCATAGTTTAGCTAACAATGTCACCTAAGTTGTGAGAATTTTTGGCAGATCATTAATGTAAATTTAAGTTTAAAGTATTGGGCAAAGGATAGAACCTTGAAAAACCCCTCAAGTTACAGGAAATGAAAAAGAGTGCTGTCTGTCAAGGACAACAAATCAGCAGTAAAACGAAAATCGAAATCCATATTGATGATCAGAAAGTAAGTTATTGGATTCAAGATGAGAGATTAAGTGTTTTTTTATTAAAGACTCAAAAACCTTGCTTATGATAGAAAGAAGACTAATGGGGAGATCAGTTAGGCGAGTCAGATTGCTCTCCAAAATTTTTCAAAATAGAGATAATAGATGCTGCTTTTCAGCAGGCTGGAATACAAGACTCAGATAAACACTTATTAAATAGTTTTTTAAGTATAAACAATAGCTCTGGAGAACACTTCTGCAAGACTGTAACAGGTATGTTGTGCAGGCCATAAACTGTAAAGAGTCTAAGCAGGAAATCACTTTAGATACAAAAGCTGGAGTGAATCGAATGTCTTGCAATGGATCAACTTGTTTGTTGGCTATATCAGGTAGGATGTGATTAGCGGAATTAAGAGATGAGATAGATGAAAAGTTTTTAGCAAACAAATCAGCTTTGCCTTTAGGTTAGGTAACAAAATTTGAACAATGCAAAAGAGGAAGAATAACAGATTTGCATTTATTTTTTATTTTGCCGCTGTTAATAATTCTTCAGAAGCCTCTGGAGCCTAATTTTTGAAATTAAATATTAGATTTTGTGACTTAAGAAGAAGAAAAAAAAATTTTAAGTTGCAGTTTATATTGTCGTTTTTTCACTTCATTCAGTTTTAGGTGAATTGTGGTGGAGAAGATTAAAAGTTTAAAAAATTTTTAATTTGTCAAAATTAATTTTTCAGATAAAAATATTTTTATTACCAATTTTATTGACAGCTGTAAGGTTATGGAAGAAATAAAATGCTTAAAAGTGAAATCAGCTTTTACGAGAATTGAATATTATGCATAAAAGATACAAAAGGTGGGCAGAGTGGTCACTTGTATGCTTATCTAACAAGCAGGTGAAGAGAGACTATTTTTTGCATCTAAGTTTATATCAAGCAATCTTCACTCAAACCTGATATTTTAGATACTTTCAAAGCCAAAGTTAGACCAAAAATATTTTAGATATATTTCCAGAGCAAATTTTAAAGGAGCTGGAACCGATTTTTAGATCTTGTCTCCAATATCCTTAATAATATAATAATGTATACTAACTTTTAGTTACCTTTATAACAAAAATATAAATATAACTTTTCAAAATGATTTTTATTATTGCTTTTAATATTGATTTTAAATCATTTATCATTACTATTGTTATTATACTTTATATTTTACTAACTACTTTTTATGTTACTAACTACAAATTTTTTTTTATTTTTAAATTTAATAATAATATTGTCAAAATTAGGTATTTCAAATTAATAATGTTAATAAGTGTAAACATCCTTAAGTAAAAATTCCACAAATAGTTTTAAATTTTTGCTGGAACAAAAACTTTTTGAAATCCCATTAAAAATTATTTATACTTTTAAAATGCATCTCAAAAAAATTTTTTTTTTTTGTATGTGCTAAATGCATAGAGCCAATAAAATAACAGTAGCAATAATAACAAAGAAAATAATAATAATATCAAATAAAAATAACAACAACAATAATAATAACATCAAAAATAAAAATAACAACAATAATAATAACAATCTAAATATTTATTAGTTTTTTATTTAAACAAAAAATAATAATAGTATTTGTTCAAATAATAAAAATAAATAATAAAGAGTGTTTGTACCTATCACTATTATTTACAGCATCACCAAAACCTGGTGTATCAACAACAGTCAATTTTAACTTGACACCTTTTTCTTCAATTTCAACTGTTGAAGTTGAAACAGAAATTGTCTTCTCAATTCTTTTAGCAGCATCTGGTAGATGCCTATCTGAATATAAACTTGTTAAAAATAAACTATCAACTAATGTAGATTTTCCTAAACCAGATTCACCAACGACCATTAGAGTGAACTCAAAACCTCGCTTAACAGATTTTCTATGTACTTGATTTGGAAGATTTGCAAAACCAACATAAATTCCTGAATCCTGGAAAAATAAAGTTAGACTTTTACTAGAAGAGAATATTTTATAGTTCCAAGTAAATAACTTTCCTTTAAAATAAAAATAAGATAAAAAATAAGAAATTTTAATCTATATTTAATTAAGAGATTAAAAGATTAATAAAAATTTTTAAATAAAAAATATAACATCATTAAAATTTTTTAAGACCCTTACCTCCATAATCACAGCAAAAAAAATATTTAATTTATTATTTAGCAAACTTTTTTTATTTTTGCTAAGAGTATCAGAAAAAACATAAGCACATAATTAGCATAAATACTCATGTATATAAATAGAAGATACTTCCTTAATAAAACATTTTAAATTATTGTTTATTAAAACAATCTATAAATAAAAGAACATTAAAAATTTGATGCAGAAAAATAGTAATTTAAAATTATTATCAAAATAGCTTCACATCTCTTATTCAAACATTGTGTGATAAAAGAATATATTTGGATTAAAAAGTAAACAAATTTGATTTTGTTTTTATAACAAGTTATAAAAAGTTGCGCATTTTAAGAGTAAGAAAATAAAATGTGTTAAGAATATCAGTTTTCCAACTTAAACAATTTGATGGTACAATATCAATAATGTCTTTAACAGGGGGATAGCATTATGATCAAAAACATAATATTGAAATTTCCACATCAATTTTTTGCAGTTATATTTAAACAAGCTATTTTAAAAATTTATGTAACAAAAATAAGATCACTAAAAACAAGGATTTTATGTATGTATATATGAATATATGTATGTTTGCATATATATAATATATACATACATACATAAATTTATACATGTTTGTGCATATGATTAATCAATCAATTGTTATATATATATATATATATATATATATATATATATATATATATATATATATATATATATATATATATATATATATATATATATACATATATATATATATATATATATATATATATATATATATATATATATATATATATATATATATATATAATAAAATTATTTGTTAACAATATTAATGTAAATTTTAATAACTATTTTATTTTATTGTATTATAGAAATATTGGATTATAATAGTTAAAATACTATTGTATTACAATGATATTGTTAAATTTACTTTTATCAGTATGATTGTATAATATAAATAAAATATCACATAAAAATAAAATTTCTTCACTATTTATCTAGTAACAATATTATTAACAACATTTATTTAAAATGTTGTTTAACAATATTATACAACAATTATAATGTTATAAACATTGTTATTGTAATAGCAATAAAATTGTTTTTGTTGAGAAATATACTCTTTTTTAATAAAAAATTATTAATTTCAATAACACACTTAATATACTATATTATATATAAATAAATATTTATACTATAGGCGAATTAAAAATAGTAGGTATTATCGACTATTTTAATATGCTATATACTATATAGCGTATTAAAATAGTAGATAACACCTACTATTTTTAATTCGTATATAATATCGCATATGTTATAAAGTAATCCATGGAAAAGTAATTGTAGTATGAAGTAATACGTAATAAGGTAATCTAAATAAGATGAAAACCATAGTTTTAAATTTGTTAAAAAAATTAAAAATAATTTAACATTCAATCTTTTGACCTTAGTAAGGCTTATGATAAATTGTATATAATATACAATTAATAATAAAGTACAATATAAGATCAAAAAATTGAAAGTTAAATTGTTTTAAATTTTTAGACAGATTTAAAATTACGATTGTCATCTTATTTTAGAATACCTTGTTAAATATTACTTTAAACTACAATTACGTTGCCAGGAATTTTTTATATCCTCCATTTTTATGAAATATTTGTTATAAATGTTTTTGTTTTTTTAATGCGGTGGCTACAAAAATTGAATTAGTGGCGGTAAAAGATTGTTGCTTTGCCGTAACAGCTTGAGTTGTTTGACCTTTTAAAAAAACCTTTTCGGTTTTTTTTTCCTCATATTATTATAAGATTATTTTAAAATTTGTACATTAGTGAAAAATAAAACAAAAAAGTATAAATAACTATTAAAAATTGAAAAAAAAAACTGTAAAAATATGGGGAGACTCGTAGAAAATCACAAAGTTTTGTGATAAAGAATGGTTAAGTGAACACTATAATAGCAGATTAAATAAAATATAAAAAACAACAATTTCAATTTTTATATTCTTATATAATTTTTATGCTCTCATTTTTTTGAGTTTAATTTTTTTTATATAAAATTTTAAAGTTTTAAATCAAATTAATTGAGAAGTTGAAAAATACGCATACCATGCATAAAAACTATTGGTCCGAAATTTTTTTTAAAAATTAGAAGTAAAACATAAAGATTATATTCAAAGGTTCCATTTAAACATTATATTTTGCAACAATAAGACAAAATTACCTCCAAACACAAGTCCAGGCGTTTTCCAATTTAATTGTTCTCGCGGTTGCTTTTGCATTACTGTGAAATGAATTGTGATGCATGACTGTGACTTCGAATGCAGTCAAATGACTGACTGTATCCCAAGTACATAACTGTTGCTCCAAAATATTGATTTAAAAAAGTTAGTTAGTTACTTGAACTAATTAAAGTAAGGGAGGAGTTTAGCATATGGGAAAAAGTTTTAGATTAGGTGATTATGCCATCTTATTTACTTTGTTACTTATGTCGGGATAGCCTATTGGTCTTGCGTATCGCTTACTTATGTGTTATCGCTTACTTATGTGTTATCGCTTACTTATGTGTTAAATCGAGTATACTCTGTAACAATGTTTAGTTTCAAAATTATTTTTCTCTTTTACAGATTTTTATTTCCTTATAGTGGTTCTCAAATTTCATTATTTTTAATTAGATAGGCTGTTAGAGCATAACCTGAGCAATGTAAGAATAATCGATAGGAAATATTTAGAATAATCAAGTCAAATAAAGATTTCTATCATTTTGTCTTCAGTGAAAACAAATTAATTTGTTAATTTGCAACAATGCATTTGAATTTATGAAAAGAAAACTAAAATTTCTTTGATGAAACACTTGCACTTATAAGAAATTTAATGGAGTTGTTAGAACTTAAGGTAAAACCAACAATAACCAAAAAAATCAAAAAAATATGAAAAAGGTATGGATAATACTTGCAATAATAACTAGGTTAAGTAAACAGAGTACGAGTGGACGTGTCACTAAACTGGTAGCAAAAGTCACATTACAGCGAACAAAAAGTGGGTGAAACATAACAGTGCATAATTTTTTTTATCTTATTTGTTTGATAAAAATTTCACAAGTACTATTGAAAAATAAATGAAAATTTCTTAACAGCTTAATGCCAGGTTTACATTTACCAGTTTGCTCAAGTATTTTTGGTTTTCATATATATCTCTACGATAGTTTTTTATGCACCCAAGAAAAATTATCTTTCATCAGAATAACGAATTGGTAATTGAAAAAAAAGTCACGTATACTTTTTAGATTACAAGAAGTAAGTAGAGTTTGCACTTCGGTTTGTCTGAAGCTACTCAAGTTACCGAAAGAGTAACAAATGGCCATACAGGGCCGTCCTAAAAAGATTTTAAAGGAGGGGGGGGTACTGCGCATGTTTTTTGCCGACAAAAGTCAAAAAAAAAGGTCCTTATTTTCCAACATTTGCCGGCTGCCAACTTTAAATCCAATTTTGCTGACTCTAGAATCCAATTCGCCGACTAATAAAATTCGTAAGGGGGCTAGATACCCCCCCCCCCCGACGGCCCTGTGGCCATATACAATGCTTTGTAATTTTTAAGATAGTAATTGATATTCTTCCTAAAAATTAGATATAAATAACAATCTTCGTTGTAAATAATAACCCTAATTATAGTTAATATTTTTTATTTAACAAATTGTTAAAATAATATCATTTTAAATGTATTTTGGTAGTAATTTTCTTACATCCAAAGTTATCTTACGTACGCTAATATTACATGGGCAAGTACATGCAAATCCAAATTGAGTACTATTTATTTAATTCAAAAACATGCATCAAGATTAGCTAATAATGAAGGTAAACTCACCCATGCTGAACCCTTACTAAAAACTTTGAAATGTTTACCAAATCAACATCTACCAAAATGTACTATTTATGCTTAAATACAAACTTGGACTAGTCCCATCGCATTGTTTAGAAAACTTCTTTCAAGTAAACTCTAATAGATATATAACAAGAGCAACAGGCATGTTCACACTGCCTAAAAGAACAAAAGTTCTCATGGTTTTCTATTTGCTACCGGGGTCCGTACCTATATAACAAAATAATATCCAAAAATATAGAACTTAAAGTATTAAACCATTGTGCCAAATTGAAAAATAAATTAAAACACCTAATACTTAATATCATAAATTATATCGACATGTATTATACTTAACATTAAAATTTATACTAAAATATTTTTGTGTATCATTGACTGTGTATTGTTTAATCACTTTTGACAATATATAAAAATGAAATAGACTTTAACCATTTAAAGAGGTACTCGATGATAAGTCTTTATAGACTTCTACAAGCTTTCCTTTACAACAGCATGTATATATCTGAAGTAACAAAAAATTTCTTGCCCTTTTTTTTTTTTTTACTTTTTTTATTTTTATTCATTTATTTTTAAAAAATAGTGGTTTTATAATAAGAAACACTATTAATTTACGCTATACTTAGTTATACTTGTTAAACCACATTTTATTACGATATGCTTTACGAATTATTATTTATGTTACATTTTTTACGATGTATTATATTATGTCATGTAGTTAAAACGTAACGATGTGTAAATTTATTGGTTGTAAAAGAAAAAAAATAATAATAATAAAAATCACACAACTTAAAAAGAACAAAAGTTTTGGAAATAAATACTTCATAAAAACATTTTTAGTTGAAGAAGTTTAATTCTTTAGGCTTTTCTTGTTCTATATGCATCATCAATTTTTTTCTTCCAGGTAACATGTTTTCTTCCTCGTACGATGTTTTTCTTTTCCAAGTATTTCAAAGAAGTTTTTTTTTTTTGTTTTTTTTTTTATAATTTCAGCAATCAAAAACTTTTTTGCAATATTCTCGTTGATAACATTACAATAATAACTTTAGTTGATATTTTTTTACTTTGAGTAAAAACAACAACACGTAGTTGTTCAGTTAGTTTGTCTCATTTGTTTAGGTTTTGTCCGTTTTTTTAGGTTTATGAATTTTTATCAGTTTTTATCTGGATATACTTTCATTTGGATTTTTATGATCAAAATTAAAAATAAAACTTTAGAAAATTTAAAAAGTTTTCTCAAAACTTGTTTCA